TCAAAACTATAAAAATTTCGACTTATTCATTAAAATGTGTGTCCGATAGTAAGTAACTTGCAACTTTTTTTTCTGCAATATTAAAATAAGAAATTATTATAGATTGACTATAACAATTTTCTTGTTATTATATCACGATCAAAAATTTTAAATCTCGCTTTAAATCTCTAATAATTATTTTAAAATTAAAATTATGAAATAATTTATTTTTTTTTTTTTTGTTTTTTAAAAATCACCAAAATATATCTCTATCTCTAAAATAAATAATCATTAAAATAAACCAAAATAAATATTATTTAAATATATAAATGCAAAATTTTCTGTCGCGAAAATAAAAAACATTTATTGACATTTAAAAAAAATAGTATTTGTGAAAGTCTTCATTTTATTTAAAGTTTTATTTCTTGTTAAAGATTTAATTTTTTTTGTATAGATCATAACTTAAATATTTCTTATTTCTATCCTCTATTCTTATTTCTATTCTTATTTCTATCCTCTATGCTACTATAATATATTAAGACATCATTAATTTTATTTCGTTGTGAGTCAAACGAAGAATAATTATTTTTATCTTCTTTTTTTTTTTTTCTTTTTTTGACTATGATAAATTATTAATGTATTAATTTTATAAAACTAAAAAAATGAATAATTTATTTGTAGATTGTTTTTTTTTTTTAATGAACGATCTATTTATTTTATGGATGTTTGGATTCTTTAAAGAATGTTAACGTTTTTCTGGTGTCATAAATCGTTTTCTGTAATGTATATTGAATGTTTTCCTAAGATTTTAAGAAATGTTTAAAAAAACTGGAATTTTCATCAACATGGCCATCGATTTTTCTCCGATGTTTTTTTTTGCATTTCTTTTTCATCTTCTTTTTTTTAGCTAAAAATAGCTAAGATTGAAAGAACCACTCTATAAACATTCAAAAAATTACAAACCAATGGGAATAGAAAATTAATTTTTAATTTTTTTAAACGATCATTTGAATTTACAAGAAGAAATTTTAATTTTGATTTAAAATTATTGTAAAATTATTCATTGCAATCACATTTTATTCAATTTTATACAAAAATTTTTCGATTTCCAACTTAAAAATTTTTTTTTATGTATATTTTACAATTTCACGTTCAAGATAATTAAGTTCACATAAATAAAATAAAAAATATATAATACAATTGATATGCAAACAACTGCAAGAAATAAGTACTTGAATATCAAAAAAAAAAAAAAAACTACAAAAAATGTGGATGATAGTTTTGCAGTTATCTAACAGAAATATTAATTTTTCTACTATGATAAATAAATGAAGTTCAAAGTTTGTTTATGTTTTTCGTCAAATGTAAAATGAATGAGAGAAAGAAAAAACAAAAACACAAACAGAAACAGAGAAAAAAACAATAATAATAATGTAATAATATTTTTTTTTTTTAAATAAAATTTTGTATTTGTAATAATTTTTTGTAATTAATAAACTTTGCTATTTAAAGTTTTTTTAATTAAAATAAATTTAATAAAATTTGGATTATATTTATTTAATAAATAAAAAATGTATCATTCCTTAAATAAATAAATATAATCTAAATTATATTATTTCAATTAAAAATTATTTTATTTTAATTTTATTTTAATTTTTTAAAATTTTACAAAAAGTTTTATTAAAAAAAATCTAAAAATATGAAAATTGTATTATTGCGTTATTATTACAAATATTTGATCTCAAATCAAATTAAATGGTTCAATATATGTCATATACGTGTTGATATATGTCAAAAATATATATCAAAAGAAATCCCTCATTGTTAATAAGAATTATTATTTGTACTTATAATATAAATCGATTTTACCATTATGAATAGAATTGCTAGAAAATTTTTAAATCGTAAGCAAAATATATTAGAATTATACATAGAAGACATAAAATACATAAAATTATACATAGAATTATATATAGAAAATAATCCAAAAATAATTGGACTTAAATGAAATATTTTTTTTTTTCATTTCATATCATATATTATTGCACATTACGAAGTGGTATATTTTTATTTTATACTTTCTTAAAAGCAATATTTATTAAAAAAATTTAAATTAATATTTTTTTTTAATTATTTTAAATATATAATATATATTATTATAATATATATATTTATATTTTTAAATTATAAAACATATTAGTTTCTCGAATTTTCTCAATTGATTCTTAATTGATTTATTTTAATAATAAAATAAATTTATATATTAATAAAAATATATGTTAATAAAAAAAGAAAAAATTTATTTTAAAAATTTATGTACTTTCGATGTATGTTGTTTGGATTTATTCGTATTAGATCGACGTCATGATCAACATTATCGTTGCAATTCAAATAAACTATATGCTCCGTGGCGAATGATTTTTTTTTTTAATAATTCATTATTAATAATTAATGCCATAACGAAAATTTTTGCAAAAAAATACAATGTTGAATTTATCTCATAAATCTCTTATTAATTGATGTTTGCATATTTTTGGCTTACCCTGTATATTTATTAAAATAATATTGAACAAATTCTAGGATATTCTCTCTTTTTAAATCTATTTTATTAACTACATTATGAACATATATTTAAAGTATTAAGCTAAATAAAAAAAGAAAATATTAATAAAACAAACATTTTTAAAAATTATGAGTTTTAATTGTTGGCTTTTTTTTAGAGTCTATACGAAAGTATAAAGACAGAACCGTTCAAGATACCGGAAGACGATGGGAATGATTTAATGCATACATTCTTCAATCCGGACAAGGAAGGTTGGCTTTGGAAGCAAGGTAATTTTTTCGTAGATTCTATCTAATGTACAATTCTACCAACGTTTCTCTCTTCCTCTTGATCTGGTATGATCTGAAATGTAAAAATCTCTTTTGCGAGATTGAAAGAGAATGAAAGAATGCTGCTCGAGCCGCGATTGATCGAACAATGTTACAAATGTAAACTCTGGCCTGCATGGGATCTTTTTTTCAAAGAGATTTCACGAGTGCATGAGGATGTTAACTCTTTATAGCGTATGTCATTTAATTAAATTTTATCAATATTCTTTTTGCAATGAAGAGAAAGCTTTTTTCCAATTTTTTTTTCTTCAATAGAAGTAGAAAAAAGTTATCGAAAATAATTGAATAGTTTAATTTTCCTCTAATAAAAAATAATTCTTATAAAAAATAAGGAATGTTAAAATATGCATATATGAAAATAATTCACTTCTTTTCTTTAATATGCTTGTCCGTCGTTTTATTTATGTAGAGCTTGTAGTTTTTAAAAATATAAAAGTAATAACTTGTATTGATTGATATACAAAACTCTTGAAATGTAATCATATATATACTCTTTTATTTTAAAAAATTTAAAAAAAAAATCATACTTCAATGAATTTTTCATTCGCTAAATGATTGAATTTGATTGAATTTTCATTTTTTATTTTATTTGATTCTAATAATTCCCTATTCTTTTATATGTATACGTAATATATCACTCTTGAACTTCCATCTTTGCTCTAACAAGTTCTCTATTGTCCATGATCCCATGATATTTGTGCCATCCATGGCATATAAAGCAATCCGGATCGTTTTCACTGATGATGCGGGTACTCGATGATTTACGAGATAAAACGATCCATCTGTTTAAAGAATTAATCGTTAACATTAAACCAAGACTAAAGATCAAAAATTCATAATGAAACAGTTTATTCTTTGTATAAAATCGAAAACAGATGAAATAATAAGTTGACGCTATAAAGGGTTACGCAAGGACGAGTGAGAACATCCTGAAACAGCGTTTCCCAAATTGTTTAGGATCAGAGGTTAAATACTTCGGATGACTCAAATATTTTCAGCATTATGTCCAAGTATTCCAAAAATCCTGGCAGTGATTTAAAATGCAAGTTGTGACATTTTGTATTTGAGTTGGAGCGAAATGCGTTCAAAATTGTAAAAAATTACAAGTTATATTTTTATTATAATATAAAAAAAAATAAATAATTTTAAATACTTGCGAAAAATGTAGAATAGAATTTCATTTATATTGAGAATTAATGAGAATTTTATATTTGATAAGACATGATATGAACTTAAATAGAGACTATTTTTATCTATACAAAAATCGAAAAAAAAGAATAATTTTTTCATCCAAACCATAATTTTTGAGAAAATTAAATTTAAAAATTTTTGTATACAGCGTATTTTATTTAAATATAATGAATTATTTTTTAAAAAAATGAATGCTATGAAAAAAATATTTTTTGAAAATTTTTTAGTATAAGGATACATATGCATTATATTTTTTTAAATTGATGTATAAAAGTTATATGAAAATGATTTTTGTTTTTTTTAAGTAGAGTCATATATTTTTGAATATAATCAATGCAGCATATTAATATTTAATAATTAAATAATAATATTTAAACAAATATTAAATTATTTAATTGTTAAATATAATTATTAACTTATTATTAACTTAGAAAAATATTAATTTGATGTTTATAAAATTTATTAAAATTTATTTTATATAAATAATAAGGAACACATATGAAAAACTATTGTTTGTGTTTTCCTATTCAATGAATTATCAAATTTAATATTTAATATTTTCGAAAAACTTTTTATTATAAATGAAAAAATTATATTTTATTTTTTTTTTTTATTTATTTTCACATATAGAATAATTTTCTTATAATAATTTATTCGTATTTCAACAGAAATTAAACCAAATTAAACAATAACAAAATATTTATTTTATCTAAATAATGAAATATCTAAAATATTTAAAATTATTAGCAAAACTATTTAAAATAGAAATCGTATATATTTCAATTAATTAAAGCAATCTCGATATTTTAGTTATACTTTTTCATAAAATGAATATTACAGAAATAAAATTTTTTCATCATATAATTATTTTTTCTTTTCGCAATATTTTTTAAAAATATGAAAACTTTATTGTTATTACTCAATGTAGTATTTATTTCGTTTTTTTTAATAATATGAGAATAATATGTTATCATATGAGAAAAATGTAAATTAAAATGTTAGCATTTTCTGACTCTTTTATGATAAATTTTAAAAAATTAAAATATTGAATTAATTTTTTTATATGAATTTATATGAATAATATATTATTTTATATGAATAATAATTTTTTTTAATTCTTCGGATATAAAAATATTAAAATTATTACATAGTTTCATAGAACTTGATAAATATATTGACTAAAAGTTAGTTTAAATTTAGGAATATATAAAATCCAAATCATGCATTGTTTAAAATGCATATTATTGACTCATATATCTAATAGATGAATTGGTGATTATACAAGATGACTATAGACAAGATATATCATTTGTAAAAAATATCCTTACATATAATATCCTGATTTATTGATAGAAATGTAAATTTTTAATCTTTCGTATATCTTTCATGCATTCAGAAAAAAAAATATTAATTGCTAATTAAATTTTTATTTATTAAAATTAAATTTTATGTTTTTATTTTACTATACATGAGGATTGTTTTACTCTTATTAATTTTATTCTTTAAATAAAAAAAAAAAACAGTAGTTAGGTAATTAACATTAAATTATATATTCCTAAAATTAAAATTTTTTTGTAATCTAAAATTATTATTTTTTTGTAATTTTTAAATTAAATTCTATCAATTCTATCAATTTGAAAAAATATCTTTAAAATTTTGTTTCAAAAAAAATAAAACTTCTTTTTAAGTTCACAAAGAGATTTCAAATATGCCGAAAAAGAAAATAAAATTTGATTCACATTTATTTTTCATTCAAGTTAAATTTGAAAAAATCATATTTTCATATAATCATTTAATTCAATAAGCGGATTAAATCCCAATTATTAACTCTTATTAAAAAAATAAAATTAAAATTTAAAACATTTATAATTAAAATAAATTAATATTAAGTTGTATCTTTTTGAGAGATTTAAATGTTATTCAAATATTTTCTATGAAATTAACTTACAAAGTTAATCAAAATGCCAATTGTATGCTTCATCGTATATATTTGATGAATTTTTAATTATGATAGGAAACAAGATTTCAAATAAAAGAATTCTATACTTTATTTTCGATTTATTTTTTTCTCTTAGAATCATTTTTAAATGTATTATATTAGATATTGTATTATGTACAATATAATATGTATAATATTTTTAATATTATTTATATATATTATCTGTATATTTAATAAATTATCTGTATATTATATTTACCATTGAATAAAAACACAAAAACAAAAAAAGTTTGAGAACCGCTGTTCCTTAAAATATCCTCCGATAAATAAAATAAAAAAAATTCGTGAAAAGTCTGAACCTATTTTTCTTATATCGTATCGCTTTGTCCCTCTGCTGCCCTGATGGAGACAGCAGGTAAATAATGCAGTTAAGAGTTATTCATCGATCGTTAACTTTTAAAATCTGCACGGTAATGGTTCCAGGCGGACGTTACAAGAGCTGGAAAAGACGATGGTTCATATTGAACGACAACTGTCTTTATTACTTCGAGTATACAACCGACAAGGAGCCACGAGGTATCATTCCGCTGGAAAACATTCAGGTCAGAGAGGTGCAAGATCGACACAAGCCACATTGCTTCGAGCTCTATGCCGCTGGCTCTGAGTTCATCAAGGCATGCAAGACAGATAGCGAAGGAAAAGTTGTCGAAGGTAATAACCAGAAATCCTGGATTGATTGTACCTTGACTTGCGACTAAGACTATTTGATTTTGGCCATTAGTTCATTCCATTACTATGTTCTCAAATTAAGATCAAGTAAAAAATATTTTTTACATTTTTAGGAAGTTATTGTCTATGTTCAAATTGTGTAAATCAGTATTTCATTCTCTTTAGATCATGTTCCATTCTTTATAAATTTTTATATAGTTTAGCAATAATACATATTTATTTATTATATACAGGGATATACTCTTAGAGATTGGCCATGAGCGTATAGCTGCAAAAACATGAAATTCTATATTTTTCTTTATTAATAATATGATAATTGGTGAAAAATGAAAAAGGAGAACCAAAGCATTTAAGAAATTTGTAATGTATTGAATTAATTTCACATGAAATTTAAATGAAATGTCTTCTTCTTTTCTCTCTTCTCTTTTCTCTTTATCTTCCAAAAGTCATTAGTAAATAAGATGCAATTATATATTCAAATTTGCAAGAAAAACTCGAATTATGAATAAATATTGTAGTTAATCAAGTTTTAGAAAAACATAAATGCATATTAACTTTAATTTTAAAAGTAATTAATTTTAAAAGTATACAAATTTTTGCAATTTACATTTTAAATTACATTAAGATTAAGCTTAACTGATTGAATAATATATTGCAATATCATTTAGAAAAACATAAATGCATATTAATTTTAATTTTAAAAGTATACAAATTTTTGCAATTTACATTTTAAATTACATTAAGACTAAGCTTAACTGATTGGATAATATATTGCAATATCATTTATCTAATCTGGCTCCTTAAAAAAAATCTATGTATTTACTCATATTATTTTAAATGTATAATTGATCATCTCACATTAGTAATATAATAATATAATAATAATGATAATATTAGAATAATATGTAAAAAATGTTTATCATATTTGTCCAGAAATTGCTTTTATATTTCTAGTTTGATAAAAATAAATAAAAATATAAAAAAGCATAAAAAAAAATATAAAAAAATTAATTTTAATTAAGACATTCAATGTCAAATTTTTGTTTAATTGCATGATGTTTTATTTGAATATAAGAATCAAACTTGTAAAAAAAATTTAATCATTCTTCTGAAATATAAATATAAATATAATATTGAAATATTTTAGCTTTTGAGTATTCATTTATAATATTTATATTTCGTAAATAAAAAGAAAGCATATTAATGAAATAAAGTGAAAACAATCCGCGACAACAATATATTAAAAATAAAGTAATTCATTTCTTTTCTGTTTCCGTTTTATTATATATTAATTTTTATTATTTATATAATATTAAAATCTCAAATAATTAAAAAATATTATGAATTATTTATAAAAAATATTATGAAAATCATAAATTTACAGTTAGTAAAATGTACATTTCTAAATTATAATTTAATTATATTTTATATTATTTATTATTTATTAATCTACATTAATTTATTTAATCTAAATTATACTATTTCATTCATCGTATTTCATTCATTTACATATAGTTTAAGTTATTGAAAATATCGTAATTTAGAAAAAATAAGAGTTTAACATACGATGAAAATTATTTTTTAAGTTAATTTTTTAAAACTTGAAAGAGTGAAAAATTAATAAAACATGTAAATAAAAAATTCAAGAGTAGGTTCAAAAACATTTTTCTCGCGAAAGAATCGAATCCTATGCGTATTGCATTACCATTTAATAATGCGATCTTTTTTTTTTATAGTTTATATGTTGCATTGCATACTGTAATTAAAGTGGCACTGTAATGTTGTATTTTGTTTGTGTAGGAAAACATACCGTGTACAGAATGTCTGCAGCCACAGATGAAGAAAAAGAAGAATGGATCAAATGCGTGCGGTAAGTTGTTTTATTGTTTTTTGTAAATACATCAAAGAAAATTTTTAATTCTAATAATCTTGTTTATTTAATGTATTTTCAATTGATATTATTAATGATTTGGAATCTATAATATAATTTTTTCTTTTTAACTTCTTTAAATAAAAAAAGCATTGCAATTAGTTTTTTTGAATATTTAATTTTTAAAATATTTATATGCAGAATTTATGTTACAATTATAGATACATTAGATTATATTTTATATTACAATTAGATTAATTTATATTATTGCAGATTTTATAATTGATTGTATTAATAATTTAAATATAAATTCTTTTTTAATAAAATAATGTCTTAACTAGAAAAGTTATAATTTATTTTATAATTTTTTTATAAAATACTTTTATTATTTGAATATATTGAATATATATTTATATTTATCTTTTATTTATAATGTATTCAATTTTATTTTTAATTTAATTTTTTATTTATAGGCAAAGTATATCGCATAATCCATTCTACGATATGCTTGCGGCCAGGAAAAAGAAGGCACAAAAGACCAATGTACATTCGAAGAGTTAAACTTTACCATAGATATAACTTCGAGAGAAGCTTGGCGAGACATAAAAAGACTGTCTATTCACGATCCTGTTTTTTTATCAGAATCGTATAGTACAATATACAATCAAATGAATCTGGACGGAATTCTATATGAAGAGAATTTAGCAGGAAAATATACCTGTTGATAGATATTTATCAACGTATCATTGTTGATCCAACTAAAAACTTGAAGAAACACATACACAAAAAAGAAAATATACTTGAAAGAAAAAGAAAATGGTGTCATTAATAATTTTGTATAAAAATTATGGTACGTTTTAGAGGCCTAAATACGTATTATTTAAATAGAATTCAACATAAAGCATTTCTTTAAGAGACAAATGAATATAGAAACAAAAATGTAATATTATATTTAGTAAATCTTAGCGAGCGTGGCGATGATGGTGGATAAATAAATTAGACGTGCAAAGACAACATTTTTCTTTTCGTAATGTTCAGAAAAAATTAAATAAGAAGAATTTAAAAAAAAACTTCAACCATTTACTTGATATTTGAGAATATTCATAAAAAAATAATAACGTGTATATGTATTTATCGACCGTTGGAAAGATAGATTCGTTCAGAAAAAAAGATAATTATAGAAAGAGTGAAATCTTTCTTATTTTCTGGCAGCTTTAAAAAAATTATCGAAATTCGAAATCTCTTCGAACAATTCAACATGTGTAAAATATTTATTATATATGATATTTTCGTGCATTATAATATTTTATGTTCTTTGTAAGAAGAAAGAATAGGATAATCTAAAAGTATCAGAAAGAATAATATATGGGACAATGATTTTTCATAATTGTAAACTGACATTAAACGCAAGAACAAATTAGTAAGATGCGTGTATTATGTGATAGTTGTGTATTTATTTGAGAAAAAAATAAAACATGTATAGATGAAATTAGTTAAAAGAAAAAATTTTTTCAATATGCCAGAAATTATCCTAAACTGTACATTGTCGTACAGTTTGTAAATATGGCATATTAGGCAATTATATGACAGTAAATTAGAATAATTATTGTTTTTTTTTTTTTTTTTTTTTTGTTTGAATATATATGTATATATAAATATATACATATATATGTACATATAAATATGCAAATGACGCATGAGGCATTATAGCTTTATGCATTATATGTATTGCAATTTAATAGTTACAATAATATAGGAAAGTTCAGCAACTTGATAAGATCCGATTAAGAACCTGCATCCAAACATTATTCAGATTCACAATAAAATCTGAAATTATGTGTTAAAAATAATTTATTTTATTAAATTATTCTAGATAAAAATAATACAAGAATCCATCTATACTTTTTCTTTTTTTTCATTTTTCATATAAAATACATATAAATATAAGATACATAAACTTTTGAAATAAATTTTTCAATTATATTTGATAATGATCTTTTTAGATATATGTAATGATTTTTATATTGCAAAATATATTGTTAATCAAAGTTCTATTCAGTGAATCATATTTTCAAAAATATATTTAGAATTTTCAAATTTCTTTTTTAAAACTGATTTTATATCTATTATTATTTCTCTTTTTCTATTTTAAAAATATAGTAATCCGTCTTCATATTTCTAAGCATAGATCCTTCCAGTTTAGCAATTACCTAGCGAGCTTAAATTAAATGGTATTAAAATATATATATAGAAAATGGAAAAGAAGAAAGAAGAAAGGCAGAGATGCGGGTGCCTTTGAGATCTTGTTCAAGCTAGTCTTAACAATTAATCAATCCGTCATATGTAGGAGTATGTAAAGGAATTTCAGGATTTTTTTTTTTTTTTTTTTTTTTTTTTTGCTACATATGAGAGAGCTAGACATCGAAAAAGCCTTATTATAATACAGTAAATAATGAAATGCAGAAATAATTATATAGGGCCAAGATTAATAGGACATAAGTTTTTTAAAATTACGCTACTAGTAAAATGTACAATTGTTCTATATAACAGTGATTTATATCCAATCGTAATTTTCAAAGTAACACACCATTTCTACTATAAATGATAATTGATTTGTGACCAACCCGTCCTTGAATCATCTTTATACAAAATATTTTAATTTTGTTTGTTTTTTCAATTCCCTGCGATCATATTATATAAATAAATTAAAGAATATTACGTTAATTCATTATTTGTCTGTAATATTTATCTAATAATATTAATAAATATGTTTTCTTTTGCAATGCTGATAGATATAAAATAAATAATTATATGCATTGTTAGGAAATTGTGTAAAATTAGTTTTAGAAAATTCTTTTTCATCAATGTTCATATTTTTTTTTATTTAATGTTTCTTTGAAGAATTATTTAATGATTGATGTAATATAATTTGTATCTTAATAAGAGATGATTGATTGATTATTTTCACTATTACACGAAGTTATTATTGTTAAAAGAATAGATTAATATATAAAATATAAATATATTAAAATTATATTTATTTTTAAAAATTTGTAATATTAATATTTAAAAAAATTTACAAAATCTTATATATGAAATAAATTAAAAGAAAACAAGTCAATATAAAAATATCATACTATTGTAAAAAAACAATATTTTAATCAAAAAAATTGATTACATATATTTTAATAAAATATAATAGAAATTTTAATTCATGAGAAAAAATTCATCAGTTTAATAAAAATGATGCATACCACGAATAATAAAACTTGTGTATTAGTAAAATAATTAATATAATCCAAGAATTGTATAAAGAACTGCACTTTATAGCGCAGAATTGTACATTTCATTGTATATTATTTCATTCAATAATTGTTTGATATTCATAATGATCTATGTATTGTATTTACAACGTTGTATGTATTAATTTAAACGAAATTAATAAATTTCCATTTCATAAAAAATTTAACAAACAATTATCGTTTTTTTAATAAAAAAAATGTTTAATCATTAATTTTTTTCCTATTTTTTCTAAATTAAAATTAATAAATGCATAAATTATAATATGATAATATGATAATATAATTTTTATATTAATAGTTTTTATTTTGACAATTTTTTTTATTAAATAAAACTTTATGCATAAAAATTTAAAAAGAAATTAAACTTTAATTTTGAATTTAATTTACTGAACTAACATTTTTTAACATTTTTTATACATTTCAATATTGCATTCAATGTTGCATTTAAATCATAATTTTAATGTTAGGAATTTATAATGAATATAAAAAGTATTTGTACATTAATTTCAATAAATAAATAATATATATATGTATATTCTTAAAAATTTACAGAATAATTTATTAAAATTAAAAAAAGTTTCAATATTTCCTATATTTGTTGAAATATTAACAAATATCTAAAAAGATAGTAATTGTAAAAATATTATATATATATATATATATAATCATATTTCATTTAAATATGAATATACATAAAAATTGTAATTTAAATACAAAAAAAAAGAAAAAATTTAAAATATTATATATTGTAAAAAGATGGATATATAAAATGCATGGGCATTATTTAATTATGAATTATAAAAAACATATTAAATAATGCAAAAAATAAATAAGTACAAATACATTAATGAACATTGATATGATTTATATTTCTCCATTAATTGAAAATAATTTAAGAATAATTTGGAATTTAATAGATTCATTAATAATACACTATTACGAGCGCTGATAATTACTATTGATATTGTCCATATTAATAACGAAACACCACTATATAGCTAGATATTCCATATCAGCCAGATGTATTAAGTGACTTCATATTTCTAGCCATTTCTAGTCTTTTGTTGCCTTAGAACTCGGAAAAACTAAGTCTTCAATATAGGATAAGTTGAAAGTTATTAAGAAAGTGCTCGTTTAATCATCGCACAATGAAATTATATTTGCCTTTTAAAAACATACTTGTGATAAAAACTTTTTTCATAAGTATTATTTTTTCATATTAAAATGAAAAAAATTCTATACAAATAGTTTAATAATTATTAAAAATTTGTATAGAATTTTTTAAAATTATTAAATAATTTATTAAACATTTGATAGTTTAATATGATTTTTTTTCATATTCTTAATATTAATATAGTTACATGACTTTAAAAATCAATCTTCAAATTATTGAAAAATAAAATTATTATTTAGAATTTTATTATTTTTTTCTTAATTTAATAAATTTTTGATTGAAATATTAAATATATATACTTCAATCAAAATAAATATATTGCATCTATGTAGTCTAAATATTAAAAATAATGGCCAGTAGAAGCTGCGAATAGAAAGAAACGAAGATTATTATAATAATTACAATAATAAAATAATAAAGATATATAGAATAGTAAAAATTATCATATCGAAAAATATAAAAAATAAGAAAAATTAGAGAATAACGTTGTTTTAATGCAACATTTCATTTTGTCAATTTTTTTTCAATTAATTTAAATTATGAAATTCTGTTTTTTTCTTTTTTTTCCTAATTAGAAAAAGTTAAAACACAGCTATTACAGCTATAGATTTATATTAATGGCTCATACAATTGTATCATTTCTAATATATATATATATATATTTAATTCAAATCATTTGAGTAAATGTTATGTTTCAACTAAAAAAAATCTAAAATTTCATAATTTTCATTTTCGTGTAATGAATATCAGAAATGTTTAAAAGAAACTTACATCTTTTGAAAGTAAACATAAACATCATTATCAATATCGCGTAAATCAATGTTTCATTTCTTTAAAACTCATATTGGGCGATAATACATTACTTATATAATGGCTATAGAGAAATCCTTTTTTATGATTGTAAAGATCTTTATCAGTTCCATAATATTTATGATGAATTCTGTGATATAATATCCAGTCGTATATCGAACCCTATAAACAATATATAAATATATAATATATATATA